CGTTTTAAAAAATGTTTTTTTTTACCGCCCCCTAAAGAAACATCTGCGGAAAGTTTTTAAAATTTTTAAAAAGTACCCCGTTTTATTTTTAATGTTTTAATTCTGGGTTAACCGGTGCTATGGGGGGGTGGAGGAGTTTGCACTTGCAGTACCGTCCCTTGAAAAAGGGGGCCCCAGTTTAAAAGAACACTTTAGTAACAGAAATTAAAAGAAACCCTTTTTTAAACAAAACGGCTTTTTCTTTTCCCTGTTCATTTAAAAATTAAGGGATCTACTCAATCACCCTTAACCAAAAAAACAGGTTTTTTTATTATAATTTTCTTAATTTTTTTTATTGGAAAATCTATACTATCTTTTTTGTCTTGGGGACACGGTTTTTCTTTAATTAATAGGACCCTCAGGAAAAAACAGTTTAAATTTTTAATCTACTTAATTTAAAGGGATTCAAATTGTTTATATTCACACCCAAAATAATGAAAAAATATGTTTGATTTTTATTGACAAAAGTGAAAAGGGTAAACTTTTTTCAAATTTTTTTGGGGAAGAAAAATTCTTTTTTCGGTTTTTCATTTTTTAAATTTTAACCTGCTTTTTTTTTCGAAACCGGGTATTTGGTTTCCCAAATTCCCTTTAAAAACAGTTTTTTCATATATTTTTTAAAAAATTTTTATCTGTTTTTCAAATATTTCACAAGGGTTTTTTTTTTTCTAAACTTATTTTATTTTCCAAAAATAAATTAAAAACTTAATGTAGTAAAAAAAATTTAAAACCCAAATTTTTGACTAGGGGAGCCATTAAAAAATGATGTATATTCAAACCGGGAGATTTACATATTGACCGAGGCGATAGCCGAGGTCAATATGACTTTCTGCCGGTGAATATCACATCATATTCAATGGCTCACTAGTCAATAATTGTTTTATTATATGAATATGCTAAGAAATTAAAAAAAATCACAAACGTACAACATTATATACATGTACAAATTTTGCCTCGTTGAAGCGCGGGAAAAAGGACGCACGTGTTAGGCGTGCAACGACTAGTACGCGAACGCTGCGCATACAAAAATAATTCAAATTTATACTCATCATTGCGGTGTAGCCTTTAAGTATAATAGTCAAGTAATGATATTTTAATCGAGAAACATGCCATAAAGAACAAAAAGCGACACTTATTTTTTAATAAACTCGTGTAATTAACAGTCTACGGTGTATGATCATTGAATACGAGTCTCAATCTATTTTTAGACTGGGAAAATCCAATTCAGCCAGTGAATATGATACTACACCCAGTGAATATGAGTTTATAAAAAGTTCTGTTGACTACTGTTTGGACCAATGAGATTGCAGCTATATTTAGATCATATAATAAAAAATAATAAAATGTTATAGAAACATATAAAACATTGATATAACCTGTTAGAGGCGTATGCTATAGTTTTTCATATGCAAACATGCAGGCAGAATGAAAACCATTTAAAAAAATAAATCGTTCATGATTTTGTAATACGAAGGTTGGTCAATATGTTATGCAATGTGGTCAAAAAAATTAAAATAACAGCAAGTATTTAACATTTTTTTGTGTTCAAGCCTTCGGAATAATCTACTTTTAAAGAAAAACAAAGTTTAATCCAATTTTTAAGAGCTGCAACATAGTCCTCCTTAGGTGTTTACCTGCCAATATATGAAAAAACGACCTACCAAAGTCCATTTCTTCTGTTTTAGTGATGACCTGCACGATGTTTTCCATCTAAGTCGAAGGGTGCCAAGTCAGGGGAATACGGTTGACGTTTAAAGACAATCAGTCACTCGTTATTCTCGAAAGAAAACAAAATTGCAGTAACTCTTTTGTTTACAAGGTGCGTTGTCATGCAGAAAATCCAGGCCTTATATATTAGTCAAAGGACGAACTCTATTGAAGTGTTTTTTCAATATTTCTTGTTATGTATGCAACTTATTACATGTATATAATTTATATATGACCAGTTGGTATTTTCCAATATTATCATTGTTCTATTTTTAGAACATTAACTACATGTATGTACTAGAACTTTCTTAACTGTTGTAGAAAACTCATGCATTATATTTAGATAGAAATTTCTGGAATGATCTTTATTGTTGAAGTTGCTAGATTATGATTACTGTAGTAAATGGAAGACTATTCTAGAAACTTCTTAGTTAATATATATAAGTAGACATTTTTCATTACTCTTATCTTTAAGTCATCAGTTACCTTTTAAGTCATCAGTGATCTTTTAAGTCATCAATATATTTGGAGTATTATTCAACTTGGAAATTAAGTGATTTATTGGAGCTTGGATTATTTTAAAATAGTTAAAATTATTCTAGTGGATTTTATTGTGGGAATTTATTCTAAAGTGTTTTGGATTTTACTTGGATTTAAGTGTGCTATTCAAAAAAAGGATCATTCCAGGATCAGACTAGACATTTAAGATTTCATTTTTATTTTGGACTTCAGGTATTTGTAAACATAATTTGTTATTTTATTTTTCTTTAATAATTTTTCTGTAATAAATTTGTTATTGTTACAAGTTTGTTGCTGGCTTTTCTTTCTCGTTACGCCTGGCTCGTAACAGAAATTGGGGGCTCGTCCGGGATTGAATATTTCCATTTGGCTACATTATTGGAAATTATTACCGTTTATTTTACATTTTATTATTACCGTATTTACTCATCTGAGTTGATATTATAGTTGTTCTATTAAGTGTACCTTTCATTTTGAAATTTTTGAAACACATCACTTTCTGAGTTTAAAACCAGCAGCAAGCAGTCATGTCTTTTAATTTAGAAAAGTTTGTAGCTGAACCTTCCCAGGAGGTATTAGATTTGGTTAAGAAAACTGATTTGCTCGATCTTGCAAAAAAGTATAATTTATCAGAAATTAAATATTCAATGCGTAAACAAGAAATTAAAAACCTTCTGATTCATTATTTTATGGATGAAGATATTTTTGGAGAAAGATGCACTTCTCACATTGTTGAAAAACACTCTGAAATTTCTGAATTTAAAATAAGACAGCTTGAACTTCAATTTAAATTTGAATTAGAAAAAATGCAGTTAGACAAAGAAAGGGAAGAAAAAGAAAGGGAAAGACAGTTTGAAAAAGAAAGGGAAGAGAGAAAATTAGAAAAAGAAAGAGAAGAGAGAGAATTTCAGTTAAGAATGAGAGAATTAGAAATCAAAAGAGAGAACAAATCAGTTTGAACATAGAATAAATTCAAAATTTGATGTCACTAAAAATATTAGGCTTGTTCCACCTTTCCAAGAAAAAGAAATTGATTAGTATTTTCTTCATTTTTGAAAAGGTTGCTGAAAATTTAAAATGGCCAAGAGAGCACTGGACACTTACTTTTACAGAGCGTCTTAATTGGTAAAGCTCGTGAAATCTATACACAACTTACTGTTGAACAAAGCTCTAATTATGATAATGTAAAAGATTTAAATTTTGAAAGGTTATGAGTTAGTTCCAGAGGCCTACAGGCAAAAATTCAGAAATTCTAAGAAAGAAATTGGTCAAACCCATGTCGAATTTGCAAGAGAAAAAAAGAACAACTTTTTGATCGGTGGTGTCTATCTAAGAAAATTAATAAAAATCATGAAAAGTTCAGACAGCTCATGTTAGTTGAAGAGTTTAACCGTTGTATTCACTCTGATGTTAAATCTTTCTTAGATGAAAAACAGGTAGAAACTTTAGAAGAAGCTGCCCGTCTAGCTGATGATTATTCTTTAACCCACAAAGTCTCATTTATAAATAAAGGGAAGTCCACACACCCTCACATTTTAATTCCAAGTTCAGTTCTAGTAATTTATCTGGTTTATCTAGTCAGTCAAATACTCCCAAACCAAGGTCATCTGATGAACATAAAGGTCATAGTCCCTTATCTCGTCCTACATGCAATTATTGCAAGAAAACTGGACATCTTAATTTCTGATTGCTTTACCTTAAAAGGAGGCAACAGCAACGTGATGAGGCCAAACCCACAGGTCTTACCACTTCAAGGTCTGAACCTCAGTCTTGTATTGATAACAATGCAATTTTGAAGGTCAAAGAACCCAAGTCTGATTCTATAATGGAGATTTATAAACCATTCCTTTCGGAAGGTTCCGTGTCACTTATTGGTGATACTTGCCCACCTACTCCTATTAAAATTTTAAGAGACACAGGAGCTTCTCAATCTCTTATTTTAGCAGATACACTGCCTTTTTCTGAGAAGACTTCTTCTGGATCTAGTGTCCTTATTCAGGGTGTAGAGTGTGGTTTTTCTAATGTCCCTCTCCATAATATTTATTTGTCCTCAGATTTGGTAAACTGGGCGGTGGCTGTAGGTATAAGATCTTTCTTACCCTTTAAAGGTGTTCATTTATTGCTAGGAAATGACTTAGCTGGAGATAAGGTAGTGGTTAATCCACTTGTAACTGACACTCCTTGTGTGGATCAGATACCTGACCCCATTGAGCAGGAAATTCCTGACCTTTACCCTTCATGTGCAGTTACTCGAGCTATGGCTAAGAAGGCCATTCAAGAAGACAATTTTTGTTCAGATATTGACTTAGCTGATACCTTTATAGGTCAGTCTTTTGATAAAGACATAAATTTTTCTCTCACTCCTACTCTGCCTGAAACTCTAAAGATCAAGGTCATGATACGCTGTCAAGGTCACAGCTTATCCAGGAACAACAAAATGATCCTGAGATTTCAGTCCTTTTTCAAAAGGCCTTTAGTGAAGATGAAGCTTTACAAGTCCCTGTTTGTTATTATGAAAAGAATGGGATTTTAAATAGAAAATGGCGACCGCCCGATGTCCTTGCTGAAGAGGAGTGGACAGTTAATCACCAAATAGGGTATGTAAGTCTCGTCATGTGACTTGCGAGATTTCACGATATTTTGCACTTCCGGGTACAAACAAATATCAACAACATTGCATATCTATATTGGGTAATATACTACTTGTATGCCGGTGGGAAAGTAAAACTTACATGGAAAAGCAAATGATATGTGGAAATTGGCAGTTTTTTGTTTTTGTAACGAAATGCAAATGGGTTTCATCTTGTGAACAAGTATCAATGAAAGACAACTTCGTATAATCTTCAGGTGGGTGTGTCATTTTCAAATTCAGTTTATCCCAATAAATGTTGTAATATTTTCATTTCCATGTAAATCTAATAAATTTGTTTTTTGATACAACATCATTCGCATCTGACACCAGACAGGTGCATTTGATTTTATCAATTTTCTATAGCGCTACACTGATTATCTCTCAGAAGTATATAATGTTTGAAATTTCGGACAGCGCATATTTCGGATAAACGTTTCAATATGATTATCAGTGTGATTAGTTGAATATATTTTCTTCCAACTGAAAAAATATTATTTATTTATAATTATTATCTTTATAAAGCACAAACAGTCAAGCTGTATATAACCAATTTAAATTGTCATAAAATTCAATGAAATATTTTGCTCCTGTAGATATTTTGACTGAGGACAGTGGTGAGATGAAAGACGTCAGTATCCATTGTAAATACACATGCATGCTCTGCTGTAAAATCGTTTTGGTAAGAAATTGCTACTTAAACTACATTAATGAAAAATAAATATTATTGTATAACATATAATGTTCTCGTTTTTGTAAATAATTACAGTTAGCTAAATAAACAAACAGTATGGCATATGTAGTTAATTCATGTTAAATACTGTTTAAAGTATTTTTCTCAAGTAAGTGGGTCATATTTTTTAGTTAAATCATGTTCAGTAAATGGTTAAAAGAACTTAGTCACTATCACATTTTTTAAAGATCAGTTGTCAAAGCAAATCTACAAAAACTAGGACACCAAGAAGTGTTTCTTCCTTTTCAACATTATTTTCTATTCATGACAATATGAAAATGATTGAAATTTATAGCTGACCAATTATTATTGCTTTCAACTCATGATAAATTTTCTTTATATACAGGTATGTGATTTCATGGTTGGATCTTGAGTACTTGTCATGGCTCTTGATTCATTTTGGAGTGTTCACCATCAGATTAGAAATCAAATAGTGATACCACCAGGCATAGTTGAAAGGAAATGTCCATACACAGACTTGGAGTACATAGTGGTAGAGACATGGCAGTCCATTACAGATTTTGACTGAATTAAATTAGCTTCTTAAAGCTCCATGCCTTGTGTAAACTGTCTGACTGAATGTTTGTATTCTAATAAAAACTAAGGTTGAAGACACTTCAAAGATGTATGTCAGTGTAAAAATGTTAAACAAAATATCTGTCTTTGTTAGAAATAAATATCCTGTCTTTATTAGAAATAAATAACCTGTCATTTGTAACTTTGTATTAACTTAATTATTCAAAGATAATTTATCTTCTGCAAATAGCTGCCCAAAACAGTTTCAACCAAGCATCATGTAGTTTCAAAACAGTTAAGATAAATTTGTTATAAATAGACTTGTAAATTAACAGGAATGGTAAAAAGATAAATGTTTAGCATTAAAATGTTTCTATCTTGATTGAGTTTCATTTCATAATTATTATCACCATGATCACTGCAATTGTAAAAGTAATGTAATCTTTAACCATTATTTAAATATCATAAAAATCATCTCAAAGAAAAACTTGTTTCTGAGGCAAGATGTGTAAAATTCCTTCCAGTTATAGCCTTTCACTGCTCTTAGAAAAGCCATTATTTGCATTGTTCATGGCAGGTAGTAATACCAGAGTAAACAATATTAATGCAATTCATCTGTGTTGAGTATTCTGTAGCAAAACACTAGCTTGCTAGCCCTTGTAAGCCCAAGTCTCTCTCTTAATTGGAGAAGACTTGCAATTCTGCATTCCTTGAAGATTTTAGTATCAGAGGGGTAGTTATTTCATACCATATACTTCTTTGGGTTTCAAATTACCTGTTTTATTATGTATTGAAACCTGTTGACATTTGACCAAAAGTGAATTATCTATACAATACATGCAAAACTTAGGGTTTGCACTTGATACAAACAATTACATCACTGATACATTAATATACCCATTGGAACTGTTTTCAAAATTGTCAATGTTTCAAAAAAAACACCACACAATGCTTTTAACTTCTGTCCATGTACATATGGTGTAAATGTAGTCATTGAAGAGCTGTCAAGAACTTTTCATCAATATTATTTAGATAGTGTCTGTTTCGATTTCAGGACAGACAAAATTCAAATGACATGCATAGTATTTAATATAGTCAATGCTTGCATATTCAAGCAATCTAGCCATTGCTGTTAGAGAATTAAAGTACACAGTGACACATATTTTGCAGATGAACTCTTATGATCAAGCACTGCTATAAATAAATGCCAAATAGTAGAAACAAAAAACAGTTCATAAGTTTAATAAACTTTTATTTTTACAAAATTTATAGTGCACTGCTTAGCATATATATCACACTGATTTTCCAGAGGAAGAAAAACTTCAGGAAAGCACTTGGAATTATTATTAGTTATTTGGACAATGTAACTTTACACTGTGAATGTCTACTGATACAAGAATAAGAATATTTCCTTTTACAAATGTAAAGACTTTGAAAATTAACATGTACAAATTATCATACTAAGAGTTATAAATCATATTCTAATTGAAAAATGTTCAGCTTGATATCAAAGCTTTGATTGCAAATTTGTGAGCTTATCAATGATTACCTCACAATATTAGTAGTAGATGATATATAATATTTTTGCTAATCTTTACTTCATAGTCATTTAATGTCCATAATGTCATATGAATATACTGTGATTCCATGAAAAAACCTTATCTCTGGTGTGTTTTCAGCTTTGGTATATATAGAGTATCTAGTTTTAATACTTAAAACTGCAATGAAATGTGGATATTTTACTCTGACATTAACATGTTAACAAGATCATAGTGTCAAACACCATAAAATCATACTCTTTATACATTAAGATTTTTGTGCTGGATGTCATTCATCTTCTTCAGGAAAGTACATTTGACTATTCTCAGTGGCTTATATTAAACTAATATTTCACTGTAACTGTGTGTTCTCTGATATCATTCTCAAATTAAGGAACTGGAAGATGGTAGTTGCAATAAAGGTCTTCATGGACAAATCCTCCTTCATCTTTTCCCTTTTTATCTGCAGAATGAAAAATCAATAAATATGTTGTTACAAGTGTAAGACACTAGAAATGATATTTACATTACATTTAATAAGCTGGTCATGATTGACAGAAAAATTTCATATTTGAAGTAAATAATCATTAAAGATAAACAACAACACATAATATATAACAGTCAAAAATATTGATCTTCTTGAAAATGAAACATGACTATTTTTAATGTTTTATTTACTAATCAATTATCATGCAGTGAAATCCAAAAGTTATTAAATTATAATAATATATTTTGATAATTGTTTATCTTTCCGATCTCAACTAAAAATTAATCAATTATTTTACATGTATTTACCTTTTGATGTATAGATATTTCAGGATCATAGGCAGTGCAAACAGTTGATTAATGGTCCATATTGAACAACTGTATACATTCTATACTTGTCATATACCCCCTTGTCTATACATCTGAAATGGTTTAATCAAATATTATATGTTTTTAATTCAATCATAATTTGCTAGGTACCATATTAACATGTATATATAATTGAAAAAGGAACAAGAATAAAAAATGGAAGGGAAAAATATCCGAATTACTGTGCAATGTCCGAATTTTGTATAACTTTAATATACACTAGAATTAAAGTGTTTTCTCCACTGTTTATTTCAATAAGTTAAAATGGTTTGAATTAATTTCTCACATCAGTAGTTTTAAAACAATACTTAAAGCTAAACAACTAGAATTCTCTACCTTGACAAAACATCCGAAACAATTGTCACTATCCGAAAATAAACTAGTTTTATTAAACTCTATAAATCCCTCGTTTTTTCCGTCAGATAATTGACCTACCTGCATTTTTTGACCCGTGCTATCCATACCTTCAAATCTGAAGAGGACCGAAACAAATTTAACTTGTATATCCCTCGAGTTCTTCGGGTTACCTATATGCGTAACGGTAAATAAGTCTGCCGATGTACCCGGAAGTGGTAAATCGAAAGTGAAAGTAAACGAGACTTACGGGCCCTATTGTGGTCCCTAAATCATATCGCCAGGAAATATTAAGCTTGGCTCATGAAAAACCCATGGCAGGTCATTTAGGTGTAAATAAAACATACCATAAAATTCTCAATCATTTTTATTGGCCTGGCCTTAAAGCAGATGTATCTAGGTACTGTAAATCTTGTCATACTTGGTCAAAAATGGTTGGAAAAACCTAACCAGACAATACCTAAAGCTCATTTACAGCCTATTCCTGCATTTTGATGAACCGTTTTTAGTAGAGTTATTATTGACTGTGTAGGTCCATTACCAAAAACTAAATCAGGTTCTCAGTACTTATTAACTATTATGTGTGCTTCTACGCGCTTCCCTGAAGCTATTCCTTTAAGGAATATTAAAGCCAAAACTATTGTCAAGGCTCTTGTGAAGTTTTTCACATTTGTTGGTTTACTTGGCGGGGATTCATTTTATTTACACTGTCTCGTTTATAGGAACATGGTGGGGCTAAGAGCGAGGTTTGGTGCACCATTAACCGGTTTAAACTCCCCAGTAGTCATTATTATGCTGCTGACCGTTCCAAGGCGGCGCCCCTCTGTGTTCCTCAGATGTATGTCTATGTTGTTTTATACTGATTTGGTGACACTTTTGCTCGTGTCTCTTGTTGTTTCTCGCGTCTACGGTAAGTATCTTCCCTTGTCCCTAGTTTTTATTTATTTTATTCCCCCCCCCCCTTCCCCGTGTCTCATGTCCCCTTCCCCTGTGCCTTTTGACATTGTGGGCCTTATATTAAATCATTTATTTGTTTTGTTTTAGTTCCTTATAAGTTACTAATTATGTATTCTGATGTAGTGGTTTGCCTGCCCGTACTCTGCCTTGTTCCCTGTCCTGTTTTTCTTTGGGGTCCTCCTGGGCTCCTTGCCGCTGGCGCTTGTTGCTGGGTCGGATGGGGGCTGCGTTCATTGAATGCCGCCTTTCCTTGTCGATCTTGTTTATCATATTTTACCTAAGTCAGTACAGTCTGATCAAGGGTCAAACTTTATGTCTGGTATTTTCCAGCAGGTCATGCATGAGTTAGGAATTACTCAATATAGGTCTTCAGCTTATCACCCAGAAAGTCAAGGTGCATTAGAAAGATTTCACCAAACTCTGAAAAATATGATAAGGTCATATTGTTTTGACACTGAAAAAGACTGGGATGAAGGCATCCATTTATTGTTATTTGCTGTAAGAGAATCTGTTCAGGAATCTCTTGGCTTCAGCCCTTTTGAATTAGTATTTGGTCACACTGTCCGAAGGACCCTTAAAACTTCTAAAGAGAAATTCCTGTCTGAAGATGACATATCTTTAAATTTTGCTTCAGTATGTATCAGATTTTTCGAAATAGGTTGACTAATGCATGTGAGTTAGCTAGGAATAATTTAAAATTAACACAAAGTAAAATGAAATCAAGGTATGATGAGAATGCTCATGAAAGAAGTTTTAACCCTGGTGATAGAGTACTTGCTCTTTTACCTATACCTGGAAAACCATTACAGGCAAGATACTTTGGTCCTTATACTATTGAAAAAAAGGTCAGTGACCTTAATTATATTATTAACACTCCTGGGAGGCGAGCAAGCAAAACAAATGTGTCACATAAATATGTTAAAAGAATATTTTGACAGAGATAGCAAAATTAGTAAACCTATATCTTTTGTAAACTCTGTTCCACAAAATCAATGTTCAGTTGAATCTAATAGTTATGAAAATTTTGAAAAGTCTGATCCTGGTTCAGCAAAGCTTGAAAACTCTGATATTCTGAAAAAATCTGGATGAAAAACTTGCTCACTTAGAACCGTCGAAACGAGATGAACTGAAAAAGCTTATTTATGAATATGAACATTTATTTCCTGATATTCCCACACGGACTGATAAAATACATCATGACGTCATTCTTGAAAACTCTGAGCCAATAAAACAACATCCATATAGAACGAATCCTGTAAAACAAAAGTACCTAAGACAAGAAGTTCAGTATTTATTGGAAAATGACTTTATTGAACCAAGTCAAAGCAGTTACAGCTCTCCATGTATTCTTGTACCCAAATCAAATGGAACATATAGAATGTGTACAGATTATCGTAAAGTGAACTCTGTAACAAAAAAACTGATTCATTTCCTATACCAAGAATTGATGACTGTATTGACAAAATTGGAAAAGCAAAGTATGTAACAAAGTTTGATCTTCTAAAAGGATTCTGGCAAGTTCCACTTACTGATAGAGCTAAAGAAATATCAGCCTTTGTAACACCAGACGGCTTATATCAATATAAAGTCATGCCATTTTGGTATGAAAAACTCACCAGCAACTTTTTCAGAGGCTTATAACATGGTAATATCTGGTCTACACGGATGTGACGCATACATTGATGACGCAATCATCTACTCTGATGAATGGGAGGAACATCTCACAACTATAAGAGCATTCTTCGACCGACTAAGTGATGCTAAATTGACAGTTAATCTTGCAAAAAGTGAATTTTGTCATGCAATTTTAACATTTTAGGACATGTAGTGGGACAGGGTAAAGTTAAACCAATAGAAGCTAAGGTCAAAGCTATCTCTGAATTTCCTGTGTCAACTTGTAAAAAGACAACTGATGCGTTTTCTTGGTATGGCAGGGTATTATCGTAAATTTTGTAATAATTTTTCGGTTATTGCAGAACCATTGACAAATTTGCTAAAGAAAAGAAACAAATTCATTTGGAATGAAAAG